CAGGTGTACCGAGCCACACCATCGGCAGCATCGCAAACATGTCTCACAGCCAGTCTTCCGTAGTTTAACCTCTACATTGCTCTAACCTCTACGGCAGTTACTCTGTGGAAGGAAGTGCATATCCGATCCGAAAATCGGACGCACATCAGCCCGTCGAGTGGGGGCATCTAACCAATAAGGTAAGCAAGCTGGACCAGAAAGCGAAGCGCCATAAATGAATAGTTCCCTGCCCAACACTGAGACCCATGGCCCAGTGTACTAAGCCACACTGGTCACAAGCGATGACTTCACCAGCACATCTCACGCTCACTCTTCCGTTGTAACCTCTGCGGCATTAAAAGCGTGAAAGCAAGTGCATATCCAATTGGAGAATTGAACGAGTGACCTTAAACCACCAGTACATGCCAGCGACCAGCCGCGGGCCCCTTCTGGATCGACGGCACACGAGCCTCCAAAATTTCGGGAGAGGCTCAATCGGACTGTCAACTTGGCTGGGACCATGTACTGGTGCTTCAAGCTTAATACTCATCCCAATAGGCTAAGCGGACAGCGATCTAAGTATAGGTCAAGATGAGTTCTTCACTGCACCTCAAAAAGGAAGCCCACAACCTAGAGTACCAGCCACACTCATCACCGACAAGTCTCACGGCCACTCTTCCACAATGTAACGCCTACGACACTACCAACACGTCTGACAGCCACCTTGACTCTTCCGCAATGTAACTCCTATGGCAGATGCTTCATAAAAACAAGTGCATATCCAATGTGGTAACCGTACACAGAACCTAGGGCTTGTTAGGTTTGACACCTAGCCAATACATTAATGGGCTGGGTAAAGATATTTGGTGAAGGGAGTACTTCACCCCACCCCAGCACAGGAACCCACAACCAAATTCACCGAGCCACAGACTTCAGGATCGGCAACATCATCATGTCTCACAGCAACTGATTTATAGTCTAACCTCTGTGGCATACCACGCGAAAGCACGTGCATATCGAAACCAAGAATCGAACACGCAACCTAACCGACAGGCTAAACTGGATTGGGATGAAAGTGGAGCACCCAAGACGAGTTACTTTACCCCATCCCAACAAGGAAAGCCACAACCCGGTGTACCCAGAGCCACACTCGTCGCCATCAGTGACATGACCAACCCATGTCACAACCACCCTTCCACAGCGTAACTCCTACATTGTCTACTGCGTGGAAGCAACCACCATTCCACAGCGTAACTCCAACATTGTCTACTGCGTGGAAGGAAATCAATATCCAATACAATAATAAAACACCCAACCTTTCAGAAGCGATGACTCAGTGAAAGCAAGTGCATATCCCATCAGAGAATCAAACACGCAACATCAAACACGCAACATTGAGCTAGCAAGATGAGCACTTCACCCACCACAGCAAGGAAAGCCGCGTGCAAGCGTGCCCAGGCACACTTGTCGCCATCAGCGACATCACCAATACGTTCCACATCAACTCTTCTGCAGAGCTAATCATACAGCAGTTAGTACCTGGTCGTTGTGTGAAGGCAAGCATACCCGACCCGAGAGTCAAACGAGCGCAACCTCCACCTTGTTTTGGGAGCACCAAAGCCATACTAAATAGGCAGGGGTGAAAGCAAATCGCCAACCCCGGTATGGAAACCTACGACCCGTTTTACCCAGCCACACCCATCACCATCAGCAACATCACCGCCATGTCTCACAGCAAAATCACCAACACGACACGTATATGGTGTAACCTATACGCCATCTACTACATGAAAGCGAGTGCCTATTCAATCCAAGAATCGAGCACAAATGTCCTTTGGGACATCCGTTAAAATTGGAATGATACAGAGAAGATTAGCATGGCAAACAAAAAAAAACAGAAAGAATCGAGCAAAAAAAACTCAGTAAGTCAGGGAAGACACCTGACAAGCTGTCTTTGGTGTCCCTCTGTTCCCGGTGTTATTTCCTTGTTCTCCTTTTTGGTGACATAAAGCTAAAGTTATTTCTTTTGGAGAGATTTTTGGATTTCATGATGAGCCTGTTGAGTCTTCTAAGCTCCTGGTCCCCTGAAAATGATCGCTTCTGCTGGGCCATTGAAGCACGTTGGGACGTTGCGAGTTTTTGAGCACGGATTTCAATTCTTTACTTGATCTAACTATGCATTCAGCGATTGTACTCCATGGCTATTTTGGTGGGGGTGTGCTCGTCGTGTAACGACTTCCTTGTTTTCTACTTCTCACCTCCTCTTTACCTTCTCCTCTGATTTGGGTAATTGTCAGCCGACCTGGGTCCACGATCCGACCTTCGGTCATATCGTTCTCTCGCCTTCACTGGTCGTGCGAGTACACTGCAACCGAAACGCGCAGTCAGCAGAGCACCACCACCATGTCTCATTGAAAATGTGAGGCTATTGTGACTCGGCTTATGTGCAAATTCACTTTTTTGAGAGCCCACACATCACAAATTCTGCACAAAAGAAGTCCTAATGCGAGTCACGACTTACACAGCCTCCGTTTGCTTCTTAAATCACTGTATCCCTCCTCCCTCTACTCAGCATCAAAGCGAAACATCATCTGCCTACATCAGATAGAAGACTTCAGGGTCAGCCAATGCACAACCACATCGTAATAGATACTGTCAGGGGGAAAAAACACCTCGATTTTCTTTTCTTAATTCCACCTTTCACTATCTACCTACCACTACTCCTAAGCCTGTACAGGTGACCGTTGCAAGCATAGCTACCTCTCACAGTTAAGGGGATGAATGTTGCCCCCCTGCCCTAATTGATGGTGGTCAGGGAGTAGGGTGGGGGGGCGGGGGGGGGGGGGGGGGGGGGGGGGGGGGGGGGGGGGGGGGGGGGGGGGCGTCCCTAACGCAGGGACCGAGCATTTTGCCAGTGCCTGCGCCTTTTGAGAAAGGTGTAACAGGATAGAAAAACGTTCAAAAACCACGAGCTGTCGGACTTGAATCAGCATTTTTTTTTTTTTTTTTTCTGTTTCAGATGCACTGTCTCCCACACCTTTGCCACTTTCAAGGGGAAGTGCCCAACACTGCAATTGCTGCCTGTGGAGTACACAACCAGCAAATCGCTTTGGATGTTGCCAGCAGGGACAGACGCAATGCCTACTAAGGGGGAACGGAAAGTGAATTCTCAACGCAACCATCTTCACCCAGCTGGTGCTAACGGCACCAACAAAACAATCACAAAAAATGGCGTCCTGTTTGCAGGCCGAGACTACCGTCTTCACCCGAATACACCGTACGGTCATTACTGCTGTATCTAGACCCAAAGTTGCCCCAAATACAGCTACAATGACTGTACGTTGTATATCGGGCGAAGACGAAGACGGGAGAGAACATGGGTCACCACATGCAAGCATGCAGTCAGTGTGTCCCACCCTGGGCAGAGAAGTGGATACACTGAGTCTAAAAAAATGTGGAGGATACATATAAGACGCTATGCCTCGGTATCACATCCTGCACAGTGATTACAAAAGCCATTTCGACATGTTGAGTCACAAAGACAATGGTGTCGACAGCCAAGCGTGACTGTGTACTTCCATTGGCAAAGCAACAGACACGGTGGACTTGGTGATAGGACATGAGACTGTTCATCAGACCAATCACCGAACTGACCTTTTTAACGTAGCAAGTCGCAAGCCCCTCACTGTAACCTGCAGATCCTCAACAGCGCCGCCCACAGTTAGTGCCGGGACAGACGATCAACATCAACTTGAAATAGAATGGCCAGGTAGGCAAAAGCTGATATACATCATTAGCAGCCAGACAACAAATGTTAGGTAGTGGGTACATCATCAACAATGTCGGGGTGCAGTTACACCTTCCGCTTGTGATCATACTCTCTCTAAATTGTGTACATCTCCACACGCAATTGACGCCCGCTCCTGGACAACCCTTCTCTCCGATGCCTGCAAACCTGCGCTTCATAGGGAATTCACACTGCTGAGACAACTTGACACCCACCCAGATAAAGAGACTGCCTGGGAAAACCTCATGGACCCAATGGACATATATATAGATACATAATGCTCGTATTATATTGAAAAAGTTATGCCATGCTGTCTATGAGCGATGCCCGCATCTCGTGCACAATGGCACTCGGATGGGCGTCCCTCAGTTTGAACACACTTTCGACAACCGACAACTCTGTCGCAGTTGTATCCAGACCACAGAATGCAGTCCAATCATTCGCAACCATGCCAGCACCGATCACTTCACTCCCACGATTGACCGTGCCTGCGACCAGTGGAACCTGGAGTAGAGAAGATAACTCGTCAAGATCTTCGATAGAAGTCCGAGGGTGTACCTGCACAGAGAAAAATAAAGCAAACGCTTCCTCAAATCAATGTTTGATAACTCCTCGCTCCTCGGGCTCCAGAAACTCTGGCGAACTGAAAGCCGAGAACAACACGGCAGGAGCCAGTTTCTGATAGACACTTCCAAGAGGACGCACTGTGATCAAATTCTGCTCCTTTAAGCCACAAGTAGACCGCCCAGGCAAAGGTTTGAGGCCAAAACGAGTCCTTCGTAAAAGTTACGGGACTCGCCCCAGGGCAGGCCTGGGGACGGGCGTAGTGTTTTTATGGCCTCGTGCAGCGCCGGTGCCAACCCCTGACGCATGAGACTAAAAAAAATCCTCTTTCTCCACATTCACAGCCAGGAGGTGTAGCCCACAGCACTGGGGCACTACCACCTCCCCAGTAGACATACAAAGGACAGAAGGTGAATTTGTCGGGTTCAGAAGCGCAATAGCAGGAGCATCAGCTGTCCGAATTGTTTTTTGCTTTAAAAAGTAAGTACAAACACGGCCTCTTTCTCCACAATCACAGCCATTACTTGCATCCGCTGAATTTTCTTTTGGGCTTTTGTTTTATTCTTGCCGCTTTTCCCTTTTCTTTTTGGACACGAATACTTTTCCAACATAGAGCGGCCTTTTTTTTACCGCTTGGAGGGTCCGATACTTGCACCCAGTGCATTTTCTTTTGTCTTGGGGGGGTCCTTTCAAAACAATCGCCGCGAATCCAGTTAGCCCCTCCGATAGCAAAAAAAAGATCACTGGGAAGCAAGGAGAGGAGAAAACAGCTATGTGGCGCTTGCAGTCGCGCCAACATTCAGTTAGAACCGTAGCTCTGCGCCGTTCAGTACCATGCAGATATAGATCGAAAGGTCAAAGAACGGAGCTAAGCAAGAAATCAGCGTGCAGTGTACCCCCGTGGAATAGATTCAATCAGATAATCAGCATAGACAGGTAGGGACATTCAGGGTGGCCAATAGAGTGTAGGGTAATAGTCTGAGTTTAAGCCAAAACAGGACATATCGTGGACATTAACAGCTCAGTATTTTGGACTGTTAACTGCGCGAGACATTATAGGGGACGATCCTGACAGCCCGTTGTATAATATTGATGTCCCTCCTCATCTGCTGAGCACTTACACTGTGTTCCACACATCCGGACTTTTGCCTTGTTCACAAAGTGATCCATGCTGCCCCCAACAATGTGGTTCCGTTGACGTTGAACGTACTGTGAAGCAAAGGGTTTTACCCATACTTGCAAGGGGACGCCGTCCAGGCGGTTCCGCACGTGCGGCAGACTGCCAGACCAGACCCGCGCGGCACACGAATGTGCGCCCGACGACCAGTTACGCCCCCCCCCCCCCCCCCCCCCCAAAAAAAACGGCCCCGTCCGGTCCGGGGCGAGGGTGCCGCACGCGGCGAAACGGACCGGACCGGACGCTCGTCCGGTCTGTCTGCT